GCGAGGTTGGGGTATTCAGTGCCTCTCTTGTGGACTTTCATAGAGTTCTGATCGAAGGAAAATTGTAGTCCCGAATCAGTTCTCAACCCAATCTGACATCATCAAGTTCCTGTTGGTTTCCCATAGTTCCTTCGGATGACCATCTATAATACTCATTGGTGATGTGGACTGGGTGCAATGTGCTAACAAATCCACGAGCCGCAGTAGATTTGCTCAAACGATTCGGGAGTTCTGACAGTACAAACCCAACTCCCTCTGAATTCGAACTTCCTGAGTCGTTGGCGCAATACGGGAGGGCCTTTGCGCTGAAGACCGGCATCAACTAATACCAGTGTCAGTGATGGGAAGAATCGTTGACAGCTTGATGGCAACGCCTTCAACTTGAAAGCAAAGGAAGACAAAATCTATTTTTCTCTGAGGTCGTTCGAGCCCGCCTTGCTAAGAAAATTCCTAAAAAATTGGAGACTCTCGGGCGGTCAGTTCTTTTAGCTCCGCCTTGTAGCACTAATCCTGCGTCAACGAACGACTATCCGCTCTCCTCTCTCAATCACCTTCTGGAGAAGAAATCTCACTTGAATCACCATAAAGTCAAAATCGACATCCAAATATTTCTTCGATCAGAACTCTATGAAATTCTACAAGAGAGACACTGAATACCCACCCTCGCATTGGTTATATGTTGGTAATAATGGTGATGTATACTGTGCTGAATAAATACATCAGAGAAATAAGATAAGTAATTAAGTCGAAAAACACCAAAGGTTCTCAAAAATTATGGACCGACCTAATACTTATCTTTGTCCAATCGTGGTGGCGTTTGAATGTGATTTGGCCTATACAATTACTTGCAAAGGGCAATCGATAGACAAGTCAGTCTTTTTACTCTCACAGGCGCAATTCAATGTAAGGGCCATGCGTTGGCCTGGTTCGACGTACCTACCCCAGATTCAGATCCTCGGGACGCAGGCGTGTACTAAGCGGCGCCACTTGCCACTACACCACTTCCGCCCGCGCAAAAGATCCCGTAATTGTAAGGTCACTCACAAGTATTGCATTTTCCGTACAAGAAGCGACTGGAAATTTTTTCTAGTTTCTTCTCACGCTGCAAATTCCTTCACATCAATAGCCCCAGTAAGAGTAACAGTTGGACGGTATGGGAGCGAGAAAGGAAGGCTAGAAATTCCCAACCGTCAACAGAACCTCAGAAGGTCAGTGAGGGTTCATCCTACTTGGTATCCATTACGACAAGAAACTCTTTTTATCCAACCCAATCCCTTCCACCAGGTGTTGATCTTGCAAGTAGAAGTGAGCACGCAGGAAGCGTAGAACATACGCCGGGAGATCCCGGCGGCTGTCGGGGGACAAACTTGGTCGTATAACTTTCCTGACTCAGCTGCCCAATGCTTCCTAATTCAGATTCGAACTTGACTACCTTTTTCATCAATGGCGTGGGAATCGATCGCAGTTGGAGATGTTCGATTTTGTTTTCAATCAAAATGGATACACCTTGCGAGAGAGTTGAGTATTGGTGGTTTTGCTTCAGTGTCGTTTCAGCCATTCGACCGCAGTTCTAACTAAACTACTACCGTAGTTCAGGGACCATAGCTTTGACTCTTATAGCATGGCGTATCGCTTCCTAGAGCATTTTTGATTAGATCTGGATTACCAGTAAAACTCGTGCCGAACTAACTTATTTTTTATTTATTCCTGTATTTATTTATTCGTGCATGCAAGGTGCGCTGTTGCCCCAAAAGTCAAACTAATGGGACCACTACAAACATCAGGAAAGCAGTTCGCACAAAAGCTGGTGAAACGTTCTCTATATGACAAATACAAAAGATAAAAGACATGGCCGAGACCACTTATAAACGCGTCTTGTTCGAGCAACTCAAGATTACTTGTCTTACGCTATCCATTTAGTCTGGGCGATGTCGCTCCAAGAAAAACGGCCACTCTAGAAGCAAAGTAATGGTCACATGTGGAATCAGAAACTGGGTTTTCAGATGTTAGATATTCCCTACCCTTACAATTCAGTTTCTAACCCGCCTACAGGAAAATATCATTATCATTAGATTATTATCACCTATTGTATTATTATGGGCGGAAGTGGTGTAGTGGCAAGTGGCACGCTTACCACGCGAGCGGTCCGGGGATCAAATCCTGGGTCGTGAGTCGCCCGGGCCAACCAAGCCTTCCATCCCTCCGGGGTCGGTTAATTGGTACCAGACTTGTCTGGGAGGATAAAAACACTGACTTGTACATCGGCTGGCCCCCGCAAGTCATTGTATAGGCCACATCGCATTCAAACGCCACTGCGAATGTACAAATGGAAGTAGAATGCGTGCCGCATCCCAAAAAGGGATTGATCAACGGCAAATGCTTTATCCTTTATCCTTTTTGTTGTATTGTTTCTTTCCAGATGTTCCAGTCATGCTATGCTGGATCACGGAACTTGAACTGCTGTGCCATTTTCGAACCGACATATGTAATGATGAGGGGGAGGTGAGCAGTGAATCAAATGCGTACAACAATTCATCTAACCAGCTCCACCTGCTTGTACTGAAATCATGAAAATGAAGCGGACTGTGCTATTGCTTCGTGGTAAAGTTACGATACTGGTCACAGAAAGAGAATTTCCCAAAGAATAAACAAAGAACTTGGAAGAATATTTTCTAATCAAAACAGGGGCGTGGTCTCTCCTCTATGGGCAAACTTGCGAAACTTTATGTGTAGAAATTCAGGGTGTTTCGATTTCTGTGAGTTTGTTACTTCCATAATCAGTCACTTGCACCAAAAGTTTGGGTAGGGTGCCCCCTGTGTGCCCAAGGCTGTGCCTGATAAAGAGGGAGGTAAATGGTAACAACGAGGTGGCGGTTAGTCGAGGAAGTCGTGCTGTCTGGGATTAAAGACTGGTCAAGACACTGGTCGGGATCGAGTTGTGTGTCATTTTGTCCGACAATTCAACAAGCGATAAGGAACAGCACACAAGGCAAGGCCTTAGCGCCGTCGCCTTGACCTTCTGAGTCACGACAGTGGTGCGCCTCTTGCGCTTGAAGACTCCTTTCTCATCAAGGAGGGACCACTCATTGACTCCTCATCCCGACCTGTGGCTTTAACTTACTTCATTACATACTACTTACATGTGAAAACAACGTATTTAAATGAACTTAATGGACTTAATGGACAAATGGAAAGCTGTTACCAAACAGCCTGAGATTCATGAGACCTGATTCGATTACTTGGCACACGACATCTTCAAGTTGGACGGGAGTTTACAAAAGACTTTCAGATGCTTCCGTCTTGTCGATGACTACTACCAGCGAGATGTTGACGAGACCGACAAACTGACCTTGTACTTCCAAAAAATTCACGGAATTCTCCTTGGGAACACTACAAGGGTAAGAAGTGATTCTCATTTTTCTTTCACTTTTAATATTACTATCAGTGCTTATTCTGCAATACTACCACTTAAAAGGAAGTGTGTGGCACCAGGTGATGTCACATACCCACTCATCGTCCGGGGGTCAAATCTAAACAGGGAAGTGTTTGAAATTCCCACGCCATTTTGAATCAAGACCTAGGTAAATCGATAGGGGCTGAGATGATCCTCACAAGCAAGAAGACCAAACTGCCATGTGAACCAGCCAAGGAAGCGTTCAATATGGTCCCAAGTTTGATTCCCCACGATTGAGTTTTGCAGTTTAGGTTGGCGCTCTCAGATTGACGCCAAATGGTGTCTGCGCTACCAATAAATGTCACTTCCGTAATCAGTGGTATCAGGATCCCTTAACAGTTGGCTTTTATCAATTATTATACCAACGCGTCAACAGCCAACTTTGATCTCTCACAGCTTCCTTGGCGAGTTCGCGTAGCAGTTTTGCTTTTCATGACACGCTCTATCGATTTACCTACAGTCTCAACCCAAAGTTCCATGATACGTTAAACACTTTACTGGTAAAATCGGATTTTGCACAGGCCATGACGCATAATCCCCACGAGTCGGCTACATAGCACCGGACTCGAGAGCGAAGAGTGTCTTTTATAGTGTCTGGCCCCTGCAAAGCCATTGCATAGGTCCTGTGCCTATAAATTGCTACTCTGCGATCCCGAGTTAAAGCAAAATGCATGGCTTATTAAAAAGGAAAAGATCAACAAGAATCTGTTTTGAAGGCGACTTGCAAAGTTAGCTGCGGCAGCTGCAATGCTCCTCGTCCACAGCAAGCTGTTGTCTGGCGCTCTCCCATCTGTTACACTCACGCCTCATTACATTCCGTTTACGCGCTCCAATCTCTCACTACCATACCATAGTCGCGGAACAAGGGTTAACAAGCCCATAATCTGGGCATTTATAACAGATTCTTCTCATTCTTTCTTCACTACCGGCCCATTTCGCACCAATGATTTCCCATTGTATATAAGGACACAGGACTTTGACCTGGGTCATGCAGGTCAAGACTGTGGTACCGCTGTGTGGGAACCGAAAGTGCGTGACAAGAGCCGCTAAGGCCTTGTGCCTAGGCTGCTACGAACCCTTGTGCAATTCTCGTACGGGGCCGTAATTCACGTATTCCTTCTCAGGTTCGCGGTGTGACTAGTGATCGTACTGCGGTGGATTTTTAAAATGAAGAGGCCTCCAATAGCAGTATTTTCCATGAAATCATTTTGCCTTTTTCATTTTCGTGATGCCAGTAAACATATCAATTTCATCGCGACCACTTGTCTTAATACGTTCTAGTGGTGAGTTAAATCCGAACAAGCCTCAGGAAAGAAGTCGTCCTGTTTCGTCTACAACTGGCTGATGCGAGTAGTGGTGAAACCGCTAAACTGCACGGTACCGTATTTCAAAGATATGCTGTCGTACGTGGATGACGTACCGACATGGGAGCCGCTTCTCTTGGTGAACGACTATGCCCGTATCACTTCATCGATGTTGGAGAACTACAACGTGGGTGACTAGGATTTCCTTTTGGGAGCTTACGTGATGGCGGATTTAATGATGAAAAGGTGGTCCATTCTAAGTAGGGTTCGAGATGATCAGTGATGCAGAAAGAAGGGAAAAAACCGAGAAAAAATGAGGGACACCTTTCCTTGCCCCTTGATTTGCGCTTTGGTGCTGCATGCTTCAACGCTAACTTTCTTTCCCCCGCTAAACGGCTAGAGACTATGGCGATTGGTGGGCGTGCCGCTTCAGTAGCGCCGCCGAGGACGGCCATGCCAGGACGCGGGAGGCATTATCCCTTCGCTATGAATTGGAGTGTCGGTCCGCACCCTTAGAAGGTCCGCCTGTCTCTCCATTAGGTGAGTTTCCCTTTCTCCGAACTTTGTCCTTATCGTGGAATCCCCCTCTAGTGAAAGTGATTCTTTATCAGGAATAAGCAGTTTTGAGCCTTATAAGGCCGTATGCTGTCCTCCCCGAAGGGGTTAGGGGACGAAAATTCCTTTAAATTTTCTCTGTCTTCCCAACTGGGATTGCCCTGATAAAGGGCCTACATTTAAATGTATGTATGTAGGTAAAAGTAAACATGCACTGAAAATGAAGAAACTATATCGTTCAAAGCAAATAAATTTAAAGGAAACTTTGGATCACCTAGCTTCGGGGAAGGATAGCATACGGCCCATAGAGTACCAACTGACTCTAGGCTACCCGCAGGGAGGCCGTGGCAGCGGCAAGAAGGCAGAGCCAGCGGAGAGTCGGTGTGTGAGGATCGAAACCAGGTAAATAGAACCATTGTACGTCCTACATTGCAACGTCACACGCTGCGAATCGTCCGCCGACTCTGCGTTCTTGCCGCGCGGCGGGCCTCCTGTCGGGTACCCAGTGTTTTGCAGCAAATGGGCTGCACGTTTAGCCTCACCTTGTTCCACGATGAGTTCAGCTGGATTCCCCTTTTGTGATCCTTGTGGTTTCGAAATACAGTGGCACCGCGGACTAAGTCTTGAAGAGGATGGCGGACAAAGCGCAGCGCTGCCCCCTCCCAATGAGTTACCACAGGCTTCTAGGGACATTTCCTCTTTGCATCATATAAGGGCATCAGAAGCCTACTAACTTTATTAATACAATGTGGTTAAGCAGCTCGATTGAAGTGCTCTTCCCATTGAAAAGGAAAAACATTATAAAAATTGTACTTTCTATTGAGCCCATTCGCAGCTCTTTAGCGCCTTCCTGCATGTGAACGAGTCGAAAATCAAATGCAAATGACCACCAGTCGTGACTACACCCGTAGTCCCGATTACTCGTTTCGTGTGGAAACATCTTTTAGCGATCTACAGGTAAGTCTGCTTTCATATAACGGATTCATTGGGCAGAAGCTACGTTTTAGTTTAGACAGAGGAAAGGATAAAATAGGTGTTTGTATAGGGTACACATACCTAGTACAAAAGAAAAGTGGGGAGCAGATCAAGTGATGCCCAATGTTTTCTTGAAAAAAACCCATGTAAGGACTAAGCATGCTCTGGACATTTTACGCTTTGCCACTGAGGTTGGCGCCGCGCTCAGAAGGTAGCCACGCTGTTGTTCTTTATCCCCTACGCACTAGCGCCCTATAGAGAGACGCAGCACAGCGTTCGTTCATGATGATGATGTCAGCTCTCGTAGAAGTTCATCCAAATAAAGAAAAAGAGTGAGGATACCGCTTTGTTGGTGCTTAGAACAAGGTAAAGCCATGGCAGTGAAGCGAGGGATGAAAGAAAAAATACAAGAAGACCTCGAAAAAGAATGTCAGCACCTCTTTCTGCCCGTGGATTTTCGAGTTAGGCATGGCTCATCGGTGCTGACCTCATCAACGGTAACGCGCTCTCTGCTAGAGCGGCTGGGATCGACCAGTGAAGGTGGGTGGTGAGGAAGCCAACAGGGAGGGTGGTGTGGCCCTGCTAGGTCTTTAGGATCATAATCCTCACTACTAAAGGTGAATTGTTCAGCACCCTAGGGGCCTGCCTGCCTTTTCACTAGGCGCCGTTTACTCAATATGAGTTCAACTTTCATAATTGCTCGCAACTCGTATCATCGAACCCCATGCTTCTGAGACGAACTAGCCTGTTCCATATACCATATGACGCCTTTATCTCGTTCTTTAACAGAATTTCCTCACTTCATATAAATTCAGTACTCTCCGAACTGGCCACAGCGTGATCTAACATCGATCACACTTTCTAGGTCGCGCATTGCGTGGCCAAGCATTGGATCACACCCTTGGGATCGGTTACTATGAGTGTGCGACTCTTCTTTTGAAATTTTTGGGAATTTTTATGATTTTATATTAGCGTAAATCAAATGACTTTGTCTGGGGTAGGTTCAGTTCCAATCTCAGGAATGCGCCTTCTGGGACAGCGTGACCCCATATCGAGTCACGGCGGCAGCACTCACACATGACGGTACCTTTCCATATGGCCGAAAACAAAAGTTGTAATGACTGCCTATGAATCTGTGCCTTTCCATTCCAGGGGTAGGTGCAACTGAAAGAGTACGGGACCATGTCCCGTTTTTTTTTTGCTTTTTTGTTTCATTTTGGGATCATTTCCTCCCCCTCCCCCCATTGAATCCTCTTGCACATCCATTTTATCGCCGGTGTTTGCTGAAAATGACATGTGTCTGTTCGGTAAAATGCTAAATAGATTTGGAAATTTCAGTACGAGAAGTACTCCGAAATTCGTTTGACGACTTCAGCCGGTTTCATCTCCGAGCTTGGTGGCCAGAGTGGTCTGTTTGTTGGATGTTCAGTGATGAGCTTCGTGCAGTTGATCCTTTCAATTCTGAGTCTTTTTGTTATTTGTTCCCGGTAGAAGTCTATGTACGGTATTTTTCTCTAGCTCTTAGTATCAATTTGAATGCGGCAGAGAATACCGTAGGCAGCACATCTGTTCAGGAGAAGTCCTAGTGTGTAAAAATTCTGGTCACATGATAAATCGTATTTATTCGACAGCGAATAATTACACTGCGTTTCATAAATATAGGTCCACCCTAATTTTTTGCTATTCCAAAGTTGCTGTGCATTTTTGGAAAATGCCGCTATTACCAATAGTTTCCCCATAACGAAAAACCTTGATACTTGATTTCTGGAGAAATCTCGATTTCAGAATTATTAAAATATCTTTCCTTAGAACGTATTTTCACCGTTTCGCAAATATGACTACACATCACTTGTCGAGAGATTTTACTATAACGAAAAAACGTCACGAATTTTCAATAATGGGATGACCCCCCAATAATCATAAGGAACACAATAATACGTTTTGAAATGCTGGTAGCCAAATTAGCTATTACAGTAGGATCGAAATTCGTCTGGGCGCCGATGATCGACCTTTTCAGCTTTTCGGCTGTTCCATTTTGCTTTACTTTGCTGTGGAACTTTATAACAATTAAGGCCCAATGATTCTCTATTGGAATCTAATTCAGATAACATGGTGGCCACCAGATAACTGCCACATTTTTTCCTGCAATTCCATCTGGCGCGGAGGGACCGGCATGGACAGCCGCGTTATCGTGTGTGAAAATCAAGGATAGAGGGGATCCTTGTTGAGAAAATGGCAAGACGGTGGCGGTGAGACTTGCTTCGAAAGAACTTCACGATACCCTGTGGAATCTTTGTGAACGGAAACAAAAGCGAGCTCTAGCTACTCAGTCGTTCAAAGGTGCCTCAAACCATAAGGGATTCACCGCCGAAATTACGTTACATTGAAACCATCTGCGATTTTCACGCGATCATCCTGTACCCTCTTTTTCTGCCATATCCACCTAGAATAAACTTTTCCACGTCGATCTCAGACCACCTGTAGAACGAAACAAGGAGGTAGAGTCCAAGATCGCGAAGGGTCTTAACAGCCACACCATCGCTCATTAAGTTGAGCCCTTTTCCACGGAGAAATGGAGACTGCGATCTTGTAGCGCTCAAATAATCTTGGAACGCTCTTCATCAATCCGTTGAAGATGTTATTGCTCTGCTGGCTTACTCACCACACGGTGGTTTTGCTCACGGAAGGCCGCATTTCAGTACGGACTTTGTTCGGACTCCTTGTATAATTCGAGAGAAGACACCCAATTCCTCCTAAATTTTCGAAGGAAACGCAGTCTTTATTTACCCTAACGCGGACTCACTTCTCTCCGCACTGACCAGGATTTTGCACATAGTCGCTTATGCAGTATGAGCCAGCCGACATGGGAGGAAATTCTGCTCCTCAGCTATCCCACTTCAGTAAGTGCTCTAGCTTGAGCTTGTTACTGGGAAGAGAGGCGAATAACACGAGGTATGGTAAACTCGATGTCGACTGAGCCCACATATTTCCCCGCTTCCCTGATTCCCTTCACGGATCGTGAGAAATGGAAACTTTTTATGAGTGGCCCGATATTCATGAAACGGTGAAAATTCGTTCTAAAAAAGTTAATTGGGTTACTTGAGGGGGGAATTTGTCAGAAAAACACTATGAAGGTTTTCCGTGATGAGGAATCTAACGGTGATAGCAGCATTTCCCAAAAATGCACAGCAACTTTGGGATAGCAAAAATTTAGGGTGGACCTATAATTATGAAACGCAGTGTAATTGGTAATTATGATATATAGCACAGATAAAAAGCAAAATTGTGGCACTTGG